CTAATTGTCACTGCATTTGCATTTATTTTCTGACTTCCAGAATTTGTCACAATCTGTTGTTTACTAGCACACTCCTCCCACCCTGGTTGTTTATGTCAGGGATATATTCCCATTTGTATGTTTCTGCTGACATTTCAGGGGGTTTTAGAGAATGAGAGAAGGTAAATGTGTACGTGCCCACTGCCACTGTGTTCAACCAAAAAAATCACATGCAGCCTTGCAGATTAGCCAGTCTGACCCTGGAATGCTAAAACAACTAGCAAAGACTGGATTTGGCACCTTTTGACAGTTTACATTAAAACAATCCAATCAAGACAACAAAATTCTATTTTTAATTATTTAATTTTAAAAAGACTTTTATTTATTTATTCATGAGAGACAGAGAGAGAGAGAGGCAGAGACACAGGCAGAGAGAGAAGCAGGCTCCGAGAGAGAGAGAGAGGGAGAGAGAGAGAGGCAGAGACACAGGCAGAGAGAGAAGCAGGCTCCATGCAGGGAGCCCGATGTGGGACTTGATCCTGGGACTCCGGGATCATGCCCTGAGCCAAAGGCAGATGCTCAACCACTGAACCTCCCATGCATCCCACAAGTAATAGATTTTAATATCCTCATTATGTATATGTCATCTCACCATCGGCCCAGGTCCTGAAATACAAAGTTAGCTGTGAGACTGATTCTTCCAAGTAAGAGAAGGAACCTCCACATAGTGAAGATCAGCATAGAGGGCTGGTGCTTCTGGTTACTAAAGGTCTCTCAAACATTTCTGTGCCTATGAAGGTCTGGAAAACCACTCTTCTTGGGGAATTTCTTATCCACAAAGAATTCTGTTAAATGTGATTCTGTTCTCAGACTTGCCTACTTCCAGTTAAAATATCTTTTAAGATTTTATTTATTTATTCATGAGAGACACAGAGAGAGGCAGAGGCAGAGGGAGAAGCAGGCTCCATGCAGGGAGCCTGATGTGGGACTCGATCCTGGCACTCTGGGATCACTCCCTGAGCTGAAGGCAGATGCTCAACTGCTGAGCCACCCAGGCACCCCTAAAATATCTTTTTTTAAGATATGTTTGAGGAGAATAAATATCTTTTATTTTTTATTTTTTTAAATTTTATTTTAATTTTAATTTTTTTATTTTTTATTTTTGGGTCAGCGCCCATGGAATAAATATCTTTGAGGAAGATTTTCCTAAGTATGCTATAAGGTAGAATATAATATTGACATGCTCTTTTATGAGTACACATTTTGGACAAATCTTACTTGTGTATGGGCTGCTTGGAGTATATATTTTTCTCTATTAAGTTAGTAGACAAATTTAAGAAGCTAAGTTTTAGAAAAATTGCCCAGATGATCTCCTTTCTACTATAGAACAATTAATTGTGTATTGTGTATTGTGTATTGTTTAGGAGTTTACAAAGATTGTTTTATACTGTTTATTTATTTACTCCATTCATTCATTCATTCATTCATTCATAAGAGACATAGAGAGAGAGGCAGAGACATAGGCAGATTGAGAGAAGCAGGCTCCCTGCGGGGATGAAGACCTGAGCCAAAGGCAGACGCTCAACCACTGAGCCACCCAGGTGCCCTTGTACTCTTTCATTTTAAGTTTGATACCATCAACAGTATTCCTCTTGGTCTTATAGAACTGCATTGTATATACAATTTAAATTGCAAGAGTAGAGTTTTGGTTTTTTTTTTTTTTAAGTGTTAAAGGACAGGTTTAGGTCTTACTGACGTTGGAATTTCAAGACTGGATCCCTTTTAAGACTGAAATTCAGGCTAGGTTATACACTCACCACCTGATACTAGACTAGACCCAGTATTTAAACTGTGCCTTTTTTTCAGCTAAAATTACTCCAGCTTGTTAGACATTAAGCTGAAGTATGTGGCTTTGCAATTCAAATGAGCCTTAATCTTCATTTAAAAGAGAGTAGTCATTGTTTCTTAACCTCTGTCAAAGAAGAGGAACCATTTTTGGTGATAATGTGGACTTTGTATTACTGGAACGTATTATGTAATAAGAGCTTAGTACGTGTTTGTTGAATTAAATAATCAGGACTTGAGTAATTATCTTTTATCATCTTAAGCAATGGCTTCTTCTGGTTCATTCACTGATGTAAACATTACCCTAAGTGATCAAGGAAGATTAGAATCTAGAGTTATTTCAGAGCTTTGTACTCAGTCCCGTAGGTCAGTTTCTACCTACGTGTCACTACCAGATGTGCTGGAGATGAGCTTCTTGAATTAATTCAGGACCATCTAAATGTTAAACCATTCTAAGAGAAACAGAGTATTAATATTAAAGGCTTCTGGATAAAAATAGGAACAATTTCATTAGCATTTGTTAATTTTTTTAAAGATTTTATTTATTTATTCATGAGAGACACAGCAAGAAAGAAAGGCAGAGACACAGGCAGAGGGAGAAGCAGGCTCCATGCAGGGAGCCTGATGCGGGACTGATCCCGGGACTCCAGGATCAAGTCCTGGGCCAAAGGCAGGTGCTGAACCACTGAGCCACCCAGGGATCCCCTTCATTAGCATTTAGTACAAAGGGGACAGAGAAATAAATGTTCTCTCTTCTGTTAGTAAAGGTCTTGAAGGCAAGAATCAGGTTTATTTGAATTTTATTTTTATTTTTCTCCTTTTTTCTTTTTTGTCTGGAAATAATTTCAAATTTAAAGAAAAATTCCAAGAAGAATACAAAGAAAGTCCACATACCTGAAATCCAGATTTACCAATTGTTAATATTTTGCCACATACTTCAGTGTGACATTGTTGTGTCAAAGTCAAGAAATTTAGTGTTTTGGGCAGCCCTGGTGGCCCAGCGGTTTGGTGCCGCCTTCAGCCTGGGGTGTGATCCTGGAGACCCAAGATCGAGTCCCACGTTGGGCTTCCTGCACGGAGCCTGTCTGTCTCTCTTTCTCTCTCTCTGTCATGAATAAATAAATAAAATCTTAAAAAAAATTAGCATTGTACTAGTACATAGTACTATTGATATAGTACTATTATATAATCCCATTATTCTGTACGGCCTGTATTCTGTTTTTACCTCTTGGCTCAGTAACGCCCTTTGTAGCAATGTTTTTCCTAGTCTAGATTGTGCATTGAGTTTGGTTTTGTATGTCTCTTTAGCCCCATATGATCTGAAACAATCCTCTGCCTTTCTATGCCCTTCATGACTTTCATTTTTTTGAGGAATACAGCACAGATATATAATAGCTTTATATTCTTGGCACAAAATATCAACTAAGGTGTTTTTAGAAAATACTTACTGAACATTTTTGGGAGAGTACCTTTGAGGAAGTTTAATATGGGAAAGAAGTATGTGCATGTGTGTCTGTCTGGTTTTAAAGATTTATTTATTAAGGTGTATGGGTGGCTCAGTTGGCTGAGAATCTGCCTTTGCCTCAGGTCATAATCCCAGGGCCCTAGGATCTAGCGGAGTCAAGCTCCCTGCACAGTGGGGATTATAAAATAAAACAAAAAATAAAAATTTTCTTTGGGCAGCCCTGGTGGCTAAGCGGTTTAGTGCCACCTTCAGCCCAGGGCCTGATTCTGGAGACCGGGGATCAAGTCCCATGTTGGGCTCCCTGCATGGAGCCTGCTTCTCCCTCTGCCTGTGTCTCTGCCTCTCTTTCTCACTGTGTCTCTCATGAATAAATAAATAAATAAATAAAATCTTAAAAAAAAAAGATTTTATTTATATGAGAGAGAGAGAGCATGCATGAGCAAAGGAGGAGCAGAGGGAGAGAATTTCAAATGGACTCCCCACTAAGTGCAGAATCTGATGCAGCTGGATCCCAAGACCCCGGGATCATGACCTGAACTGAAGTCGGATGCTTAACCAACTAAGCCACCCAGGCACCCCAAGAAGAGTGGTTTGGGTTTTTTTTTATTTTATTTATTAAGATTTTTAAAAAATTATTTATTTGTGAGAGAGGCAGAGACATAGGCTTAGGGAGAAGCAGAGGGAGAAGCAGGCTCCCTGTAGGGAGCCTGATGCAGGACCCTGGGATCATGCCCTGAGCCAAAGGCAGACGCTCAACCACTGAGCCACCCAGATGCCCCAAATTTTATTTTTAAGTAATCTCTACACCCAACATAGAGCTCAAACTCATAACCCTAAGATCAAGAGTCACACTCCACTGACTGAGATAGCCAGGTGCCTCAGAAGTGTTTTGTGTTTTTTGTTTTGTTTTGTTTTAGAAAAAAAGAACATGACCTTTGACTTAAATTTAGATTTAAACCATAGTTCTGCCACTTACTAGCTTCTGTACTTTATCTCACTCTCAGTTTCCTCAACTCAAAAGGTACAGATAAAATGTTGGCTTGAAGAAATTAGATAATGTGTATAAACAGAGTGCCACGTGATGTGTATACAGTGAATGGCAGCTAATAATATTCATTTCAGCATAACTTACAAGTTGAGAGAGGATGACTGCTCTTGCAAGGTTCCAGGCTTAAATACTTCTCTAGCTCTGAGTCTGTAGAAGACATTGGAGAAAAAGCCATATTCAGAGCATGGAAATATGGAAATTGTCACACTTTATTATTTCCTTGGACACTGCCTAAGAATTCCTTGGAATTCATAGTTGTTGTAGGTCTTACAGGGGTACAGGATATTTGCTAACCATACATAAGCTCTGTGGTTTGCATTGGTGTTCACTCTTAAAACTTAATAACTAAGTACAAAATGGTAATGTTCAAAGAATGATTTACAGGGACTGCTCAGTATTTGCTTGTCAGTTGTTTTATTGAAGTAACTTGTGTGCCGAATTCCCTGGAATGTAGCACAGTCAAATCTGGCTTCTTCCACTCCTGAGTTGGTACAAGAAACACTTGGCACCTACTAAAGTGCTATTCTTTGCAGTTATTTGGTGTAATTTGCCACAGAAGTAAATTCCATGAGGTAATATTCTTGCTAGATTGTACTCTTGCATGACTGAATGAGTACATGCTAAGGGCCAGTATTTTTTTAACTCAAGGTGTTTTTTTGGCAGCCGGGAAGATTTCCAGCGAATTCCGGAACTTGCCATCAACCCATTGGGGGACCGGATCATTAATGCCTTCTTTCCAGAGGGGTGAGTCTGTGAGTTGTTGGCTTCCTTTCTGAGGCAAGTCTGGAATAATGTCATTGGTTGGGTCATTTTAGATCATGAGCCTACTGATTATATTGAGCATCCTTAACTTGATCATATATAGAATATCTCTTCAAATAGGTATATGAGCCTATTTTCAAAATGTTGTCCTTTTTTTTTTTTTTTAAAGATTTTATTTATTTATTCATGAGAGACACAGAGAGAGAAAGGCAGAGACAAAGGCAGGGGAAGAAGCAGGCTCCATGCAGGGAGCCCGACATGGAACTCGACCCCGGTCTCTAGGATCACGCCCTGGTCTGAAGGCGGCGCTAAACCGCTGAGCCACCTGGGCTGCCCTCAAAATTCTGTCCTTAATCTCTGTTTACCCTTATGTAAAACTAAAAATTTTTTAAACTTTTATTTGGAAATAATTTCCAATTTCTAGAAAAGTTGCTAAAACTGAAAATAATACAAAGAACTCCTGTATGTCTTTTACCCAGACACATCTATTGTTATATCATTAACATTTTGCCTCAATGGCTTATGCTGTCTGTCTCTCCATTCAAGTCAATGAAAATATAGTCAAGTCACATATATAATTATAAATTTTCTAGTACCCACATAAAAGTAAAAAATAAACAAGTTAAATTAACTTCGTTAATATATATTTTATTTTTCCAATATATTTAAAATATCATTTAATATATAATCAATATTTTGGGACACCTGGGTGGCTCAGAGGTTGAGTGGCTGCATTTGGCTCAGGGTGTGATCCTGGGACCGAGTTCCACATCGGGCTTTGTGCATGGAGCCTGCTTCTCCCACTGCCTATGTCTCTGCCTCTCTCTGTGTCTCTCATGAGTAAATAAATATTAAAAATATATATATATAATCAATATTTTAAATTACTAATACATTACATTCTTTTTAACATAAAGTCTTTGAGATCTTTTTTTTCTAAGATTTTTATTTATTCATGAGAGACACACACAGAGAGAGAGAGAGAGAGAGGCAGAGACACAAGCAGAGGGAGAGGCAGGCTCCATGCAGGGAATGTGACATGGGACTTGATCCTGGGACTCCAGAATCATGTCCTGAGTCAAAGGCAGGGCCTAAACTGCTGAGCCACCCGGGTGTCCCGGAGATTTTTTTTTTTTAATATTTTATTTATTTATTTGAGAGAGAGAGCATGAACAGAGGGGAGTGGCAGGCAGAGGGTAAGGGAGAAACAGGCTCCCCACTGAGCAGGGAGCTTAACATGGGGCTCCATCCTAGAACCCTGGGATCATGACCTGAGCTGAAGGCAGACGCTCAACCCACTGAGCCACCAAGGCGTCCTGATATCAATCATATTCCAATTTTAATCTCCTTTATGTCATTTTCCTCTCATCCAGTATAGGATCCAGTCTGGGTCAGTTTCATGTCTCTTTGGCTTCCTTGAATGTGGAACATTTCCACAACCTTTATTTTTCTTTTACAACATTGGCTAAGGATATAGTCCTCTCTACCACACACACAGTTTGTTGAATAGATTTGGGTTTGTGTAATGTAGAACTAAGCTTTTTTTTTTTTTTAAACTTATTTATTTATTCATGAGAGACATATATATAGAGAGAGAGGCAGAGACACAGGAGGAGGGAGAAGCAGGCTCCACGCTGGGAACCCAACGCGGGACTCGATCCCGGGACCCCAGGACCACGCCCCGGGCCAAAGGCAGGCGCCAAACTGCCGAGCCACCCAGGGATCCCCTGATATGTTTCAGTACCTAATACACTGACTTTAGATTACTGAGTAAATATTTATTGATTTGATTAGGTACCTTTTTCTGAATAAAGCTTATTATATTATATTAAGTAATCTCTTTAACAACTTCTTCCTGGTTCCTCAAGACTTATCTGTATGACCCAAAGGACTTTAAAAAGTTCAGTGGTTGCCAATTTTTTAATAATGACACTAAGTGTCAGTGAGGATATTATCAGATAAAATGGAGAGGAAATTTAAGAACTCTGAACTGAGAACAAAGGAATTTGCAAATTGAAAAGTTGGGCATTCAGTAAAGCTGAGTGACAGAGCGAGAAGAGTAGCAGCAGCTAGTTTATGTGAAGACAGGAATCGAATCAAACTGACACTTGCTGTCTTCGCATTCATGTTGACCATGAGGAATCTCTTGCCCATCTTCATTTTTCTCTCCATAAACTACCCTGTTTGTTTCAGGTGTGGTTTTTATGCTGAATTCTTGAGTTTTTTTCTACTTCCTCCTTAACCCATGCAAAGCATTGACCCTGTCCAGAGATAACTTTCACAACTATGGTTTGTGTCCAAACCTTTTGCAATGAAAAGTAAACCCAATAGAGTCTTTTTGCCAACATTTTTTTCCGAGTTCCATAGTAACCATTGGTTATTAGAAAAAGCAGTTTGTGGGAAGCTTTTTGATTACAGTATCGCTTGCTGTCCTGTGCAATGTTCTGCTAAGGACACTAGGCAAGTGTACATGAGGAAGCCCACACAGGGCTGCACCACTAAACTCTTAGCAAGCTGCCCTTCTGTTCCCTGCTGTAATAAGATACAGATATTCCATTTCTAGGTTTTTTGTTTCTTTATCTAAAGTTGTGCAAGTGGAATTTTTTAAAATGAGATTTGAAAGTGAAGTATTGGCATTTTGTTCCCTTTTACTCAGAGACGTATATCAGTAATATTTGTACTCATTAATATGTTGTTCTGGCATATGACTTAAATCTCATTCCACATTATTCCTTAGACCTACTGCTACATTAGCAATATAGCTAACTTGAGAAACTAACAGTCATTCCTTTGAGTACAGTGGGCTCATGACCTAGCTTTTGAACTCTACCCTTAGAAAGTCTGATCTGTGTGTCTGCCTGGCATTTAAGAGACCTGACATACCTCAACTATTCAGTGAGGCAAGGAAAAACTGGGATTTACTTAACCAGGCAACCTATTCTTTCCATGACTGCCATAAATAAAGAACTATGTCATGTGGGATATTCTTTTTTAATACTAAAGAATGTTGTTCATTCAAGTTTTAGAATTATTTCTCATAGGTTTACTGATTGTGGCATGGTAGAAAGATTTCCTCTAAAAAAAAGAAAGAAAGAAAGATTTCCTCTAGTCTTAAGTACCAGAAAAGCTTTATACATAAGTCTCCTAAATATTATGATCATGAGAAATGGGAAAAAGATCTATCCAATTATGAGGGGATAATAATATCATAAGTAACACAATTATTTTGCAGACATTTAAAATATTTCAAAGTGTTTATATTGATTGGAGACATGCTTAAAAGTTTTAAAAAGCAGGATAGAAAATTGTATATGCAGTATGTTCACAGTTATCCAAAAAGCTTAGAAAAATAAATGGAAAAAAATATGTTAACAATAATTGTAATTGATAGAGCTAAGAGTGTTATTTTTCTACTTCCCCTAAATTTCCAAAAATGTATTTTTGTTATAAAAGCAATAAATATAAACTATTATTATAAATAAACTATTTATTTAAAAGCTGCATTTCCATAGGATACTTTGACCTTAACATATCACTAGGCGTATGTGACTGCAGGGGAAACATGATTGGTGGCTGAGGCTGAGGAGTCATTGGGTTGACATAGCTAATTTACTGCTCCCTAGAGTTTGGAGCAGTGAATTCAAGTCCTGGCTTGCCTGTAACATACCTGGTGCTACTTTGAAATCCTTTTTGGGAAAAAGAGCTATAAGGAACTTTAGTAGGTGACTGTGTTGAGTTCTGTTAACCTCTCTAAGTCTGGTTAATCATTTATAATGTGGGAAAAATAATACCTGCCCCACAAGGTTGGGGTGACACTTAACAAAGGTATTTTATGAGCCCTGAAGAATCGTGCATATGGGGAAAGATGTCATTAAATGGACTTTCAGGCCACTCTAGCTAAACTGTTGCCCGTATATTATTGAGTTAAGAATCACCCCGATTGAGATGGTGTTCTTTTTATTCTGTTTCCCAATCAGAGAGGACCAGGTAAACTTCCGTGGATTCATGAGAACTTTGGCTCATTTTCGACCCATTGAGGATAATGAAAAAAGCAAAGATGTGAATGGACCAGAGCCACTCAATAGCCGAAGCAACAAACTGCACTGTAAGGAGATAAAGTTTTCTGGCTTAAAATATTTGCTTTCATTCCTTACAAATCATTTATTTACTTATTCCTTCATTGAGCGAGCATTTACAAGAGCATAGTGATGAAGAGCTCAAGACTGTGGAATTACACTGACTGGGTTTGATTTCCAGCTCTGCCGCTTTTTCGTCATGTGACTTGGGGCAGATTATTTAAAATCTTTGGGCCTTGGTTTCCTCTTCTGTAAAATGGGAAGTTAAGGGGTTTCACATAAGGATGTTGTGATGATTAAATTAGTTAAAATATGTCAAATGCTTGAAATAGTGCCCAGGAGTAAGAACTTAGCAGCTAATATTATCTTTAAAATTCAGAGAATGCTTACCATGCACCAAGCAGTGTAGTGAGTCCTAGAGCAACAACAGTGAATAAGACCTAGCCCCATCACAAGGAAGAATGGCCATGCTCAGCCTATTTTAGAATTTGATGGATACTGGATAGGAGTTAAGTAGGAGTAGACAGCTGGCTTAGTGCAATATTTAACTTTTGTCCCCCTGCCTCTTGCCTCCTTTCCTTGGCTATTTGTTAGATTTCCCTTTGCCCTTGTTGATTTCTCTATGAGATTGCTCAATCCCTTATAACACTTTTCCAGAAATTGAAATTGAACTTCTCTTTTCATTCAACACAAGTTGAAATGGAAATGTATTACATTGATTGAACCCAGGCTTCTCTTACAAGAGTGCACAGTGATGTACAGAGAAATCTTTGAAGCCACAGAATAAATGGGACCCATCAAGTTTTTATTGGATGACTTAAAGAAAAATAAAAAGCTGTTTTTTTTTAAGATTTTATTTATTTATTTGTGAGAGACACAGAGAGGCAGAGACATAAGTAGAGGGAGAAGCAGGCTCCTTGCAGGGAGCCCGATGTGGGACTCAATCCCCAGACCCAGATGCCCCAAGACTTAAACTTTTAACTTGGGCCACATCCTCAGATTTCCCTGGTTATGGGGCTATGACTTTACTCCTCTCTTGATATTTTAGGTAAAGAGTTTCAGCGCTGAAATAAGTTTTGTTATATAGGACAGGGAAGATTTTTGAACCCAAACAGTAAAATATTGCTCTTCTTTACCACAATATCAGATACCTTAATGAAGAGCAGAAAACTAAGTACAAAGAAAATAATGTAGAAGAAAATAGAACACTGATAGTTCTCAAATGTATTGAATACTTTATGTTAATGGATTCTAATTTCTTCTTTCAAGACTAAATACCATTTGATACAAAATCTGAGTCTCAATGTTTTCAGAGTTTCAGCATTTGTTTAGTACATGTTTGCCTGATTCTGACATTAGCATAATAGAAATTTTCTTATTCATTATTGTCAGACCAGGAATTTAATAATAATTGAAAAAGCCAGCTATAACATAGAATCACAGAAGAGGATATATGGTTTAACATTTTATTTTACCTTAAAATATTTAAGAACACATTCACTGTACAATCTTTTGTACAGTGTGGGACTAAGAGTTTTTTTGGTTTATTTTCATAAAAGTCTGCTGATGGGAGTCATGTGATGTTTTTGTATAGAGCACATCTATAATGTCTAAGATTTCTGGTTACAGTTTCTTTTAAGTGGAAAAAGAGCTTAAAGATACTTGTAAAGCATTCCAAAAATAGAATTTTTCTGTTGTTTACATTTTTCCTCCATCTCTTAAACTTGTTCTGCCATATTTATGTTAACACATTTTTTCCAGTAACTTAATTTTGAGTCTTTCAGAAGTAATTTGTCTAATTTTTTTAAAAAATTTATTTATTCATGAGAGACACACAGAGAAAGAGAGGCAGAGAGAAAAACAGGCTCCATGCAGGGAGCCCAATGTGGGACTTGATCCCGGGACTCCAGGATCACGCCGTGGGCCAAAGGCAAGTGCTCAACTGCTGAGCCACCCAGGTGTCCCTAATTTGTCTAATTTTCACAGAAACAATAACTTTTCACATACATGTTTTGCTTTTTATTAATTATATAGTTTTTTTTTTTAAAAAAAGTACAAATAGCACAGTTTTAGGGCAGTGTATACACTTGGCTCTTGGTCAGCATACAACTCAGCTGGTAGAGTAGACTCAGGTGTTGCCTATTAGTTACAAGTTGTGTGCCATCACATCATTTGGAATGATTTGCAAATCACGGAGGGAGAGAATCCGTGAATCAAGTGAGTTGGTTAAGGAGAAGACAGTAAAGAGACATTCTGTGCTCTTATGAAAGCGCAGAATGAAACTATGCTTGCTTTTCTAATCCAGGATTAAAGAAGACTTTAAAGGTCATTAGACTTAACACATACCTATTACCTGAATTCCCTGCCTAGCATGGGCTCTACTTTTGGGGGTGGGGAGATTCTACTTTTTTTAAGTCATGAATTCCTTTGGCAGTCTGTTGAATCATACTGACCCCATCTCAGAATATTTTTGAAAGCATAAAATCAAATGCATAGGACTATGAAGAAAACCAATTATATTGAAATTCAATTGACAAAAAAATTAAGGCAACTTTGTGACAGAGTAGAAGTGCTTCTTTGTGATTGATTGATTGATTGATTGATTGGAGAGACAGAGAGAATGCAGGCACACTTGCATCCTCCAGCATGGGGAGGGGCAGAGAGAGAGGGAGAGAATCGCCAAGCAAACTCCCTGCTGAGCATAGAGCTCATTCTGAGGTCCTATCTCAGGACCCTAAGATCATGACCTGAGCCAAAATCAAGAGTTGAGAGTTTAAGGGACTGAGCTCCCCCTACCCAAGTACCCCAGAAAGAAAATTTTTTTTTTTAAAAGATTTTAATTATTTATTTTAGAGATAGAGAGATGGGGGATGTGCAAGCAGGAGGAGGAGCCCTGTGGAGCTGAAGTGGGGCTTGATCCCCCAACCCTGAGATCATGACCTGAGCCAAAATCAAGAGTCAGATGCTTAGGATGCCTGGGTGGCTCAGCAGTTGAGCAGCTGCCTTTGGCCCAGGGCTTGGTCCCAGAGTCCCAGGATCGAGTCTCACATCAGGCTCCCTGCATGGAGCCTGCTTCTCCCTCTGCCTGTGTCTCTGCCTCTCTCTGTGTCTCTCATGAATAAATAAATAAAATCTTTAAGAAAAAAAAAAAAGATGGTAAACAGTAATTATTAGGGTAACGCAAATGAAGACTACCTTATACTTGTTATGATGGCTATTATCAAAAATAAACAAAATAACACAAAATAACAGGTGTTAAGGATCTAGAGAAATTGGGGGTACTTAGGTGGCTCAGTCAGTTTTGTCTTCCTTCTCCCTCTCCCTTTGTGATCTTTCTCACTCTCTGTAAATAAATATATAAAAATCTTTTAAAAAGATGTAGAGAAATTGGAACCCTTGTGCATTGTTGGTGGAAATGTAAAGTGGTATAACCCTGTGGAAAACAGTGCGGTGGTTCCTCAAAAAACTAAAAATGGGGGCTCCCTGGGTCGCTCAGCGGTTGAGCACCACCTACCTGCCTTTGGCCCAGGGTGCGATCCTGGAGTCCCGGGATCCAGTCCCACGTCGGGCTCCCGGCATGGAGCCTGCTTCTCCCTCCTCCTGTGTCTCTGCCTCTCTCTCTCTCTCTCTCTCTCTCTCTCTCTCTCTCTCTGTCTGTCTATCATAAATAAATAAATAAGTAAATCTTTAAAAAAAAAACTAAAAATGGAACTACCATATAATTCAGACTTCCACTTCTGGTTATGTATTCAGAAGAATTGAGAGCAAGGTCTTGAAAAGATGTGGCTATAGCCACATTCTTAGCAGCGTTATTCACCATAGCTAAAAGAGAAAGCAACTCCTTATCCATCCATAAATGAGTGGATAAGCAAAACTGTGGTATATACATAGAATTGAATATTATTCAGACTTAAAAAGGAAGGAAATTTCAATAATCCACACACAGATGAACCTTGAGATCATGATTCCAGTCACAAAAAGACAAATAGTGTATGAGTCCACTGATATGGGTACTTAGAGGTAGTCAAAATCAACTAAATATATAATGATGATTGCTGAGGATAGGGGAAGGAGAGAATGGGGAGTAATTTAATAGGTATAGAGTCAGTTTTGCAAGATGAAGTGAGTTATGGGATGGATGATGGTACAACAACGTCAATGTGTATTTTACCCCAATAGAAAAAAAAAAGAAAAACTAGTAGGTAAAACAAATTGGACCCCTTGTGGTTTTTTAAAAATTCTGCATTATAGACCTTTCAAATTACCAAGCAGTTAAAAAAATTCTACTTCTTCAGCTTTGTATTCCCATGTCTTGATCCAGATATTTTATGCAATATATGGATTAGAGTCCTTTCTTTGTAATTCATTTCCTTTATAAATTGCTGTGGTCTGTGTGCCTTAATTCACACTGACCTTGAAGAAAATATTCCAAACAGATTTCATAGTTACTTTGTATATCTGTTAGGATATACCTTTAGCTGACTCATCTGGATTCAACAATAAGAAAGCATATTATCGCACTTTACAAATCAGGTGAGACAGGGACGCCAGGGTGGCTTAATGACTGTCTGCCTTTGGCCCCGGGCGTGACCCTGGGATCTGGGCGAGTCCTGCATCAGGCTCCCTGCCAGGGGGCCTGCTTCTCCCTCAGTCTATGTCTCTGCCTCTCTTTATGTGTCTCTCACGAATGAATAAATAAAATCTTTAAAAACAAACAAACACAAATCAGGTGAGGCAGATGTCAGAGTTTATTGTGTTTGTTTCTGTTGCTCTGCTCTGCCATCCTTATGATCTGCTTCATCCAAAGGCATGGCTCCTTGTGGTCACATGATGGCTTTCATCAGCAACTAGGCTGTATGTTTCCCTGTTCACATCTAATGGGAGAGAGATAGCTGTGGATGAGAGTCTGTTTAGGAAGGAAGGAAGGCACAGAATGACACAGAAATGGCAAACTTCGTTTCTTTTCCTTCCTTACTTCTTTCTTCCTTCCTTCTTATTTTTTTTAAGTAGGCTCCATGCCCAATATGGG